ACAGTGAGGAAAGCCCTGATGCTGCCATAGAGGATTCAAGCCTGCATGTAGAGCCCACTAAGGCTCCAATCATGTTCTCAATGAGGGGGAGAAATTAGGGGAGTTTTGGGGGAAAAAGTTTGAAGAGTTTTGGGGTGGAAACTTTCAAAGGAGAGAGATGGGCCGAAAATTGGAGGGGTGCGGCAAAAAGCACGTAGGAGCAAGATGAGGAATGAGAGAAGCGGGAGGGGAGTATAGCTATTACCGAATGAAGGAGTTTAACCCTAGACAAATGGGGGGAAATGCCTGAGGGACAGAAAGTTAGGGTGGCGATGCAAAGGGTAAGGAAACTGAAGATACCGATTTTCAAAGGAGAATATGCACATGAATGAGTATATTGGGTAGAGCGATACTTTGCAGGGAACATATTAACTTGGGAAGAGAATCTCATGGAGGCAGGATTATGTTTGGAGGGAAATGCTCTAGCATGATTTCAGTGAATGGAGGCGAGTTACCCGATGCATTTGTGGGAGGAGTTTACGAATTGCTTTTTGGAATGTTTCTGAACTTGAACCTCAGGGAACGAGAATTACACAAGAAATTCTATACTTTGACGTAGGTGGGGATGGTCACATAACACAGGGTGAGGTTTGAGCTCTTAGCAAGGCTGCTGAGAGGTTTTTCTGCAGCAGAACTGGAGGAAAACTTCTTGAAGGGCCTGAAGCTCGACATCCAAGTTGCCCTCTGACCTTTGAGATCGCGGGAATTGAAGAAGATGATGGAGCTCACCCAAATGATGGAAGAAAAGTAGCAAGTGAAGAAGATTATCAAAAGCGACACCACATGGGGATTTTACAAGAGTGCCTCGAAGGTGATGCCACCGAGAATCCAGACAACGTCGTTTCAAAAAGGAAGTCAAAGGAGAAGAAAATGGAGACCCGTTCCAAAGGCAATTTCAAACACATCTTTGAAATGGAGACCCGTTCCAAAGGCAATTGCAATTGCAAAAGTGCAGAAGAAAAGAGCGAAAGGACTATATCTCTGATGCGATGAGAAGTATGCCCCAGGTCACCATTGCAAGAAGCATGTGTTTCTGGTCCTTGTAGTTCATGAAAAGGAGAAAGATAGAGAGAAGTCGGAGGAAGACATGGTGGAGGAGGAGCATTCACACTTGGATGCAGCGGATGTGTCCCTCAATTTAGTAGTGAGATTTACTCTGAATCACACTATGAAGATGAGGGTACAGATCGGGAAACAGTCAATTGTGGTGTTGGTGGATAGTGGGGCTACACAAAATTTCATCTCTAAATCAGGTTGTGAATCAACTAGCGTCAGAGCAAGTAGATACAGAGAGCTTTGGCGTTGTGATGGGGACAGAGAAGGTTAAGAAAATTCGGGGAATTTGCAAGCGGACAACTCTAACACTACATGACTTACGGGTGGAGAACTTCTTTAACTTGGACTTGGGCAACATTGATGTAACTTTGGGAATGAAGTGGCTACAAACACTTGGGGAAACGAAGGTGGATTGGAAATTCCTGATGATGGAGTTCAAGGTGGAAGGTGGAAGGTGAGAAGGTGGTGCTGAGGGGAAATGCTAACCTATGTACAACCATGATCTTGCTCAAAACCACGATCAAGACCGATCAAGACGATACAAGGTGCATTGTTAGGCTATTTAGTGAAGTTGCAAAGCATATAAAAGATCAGGAATCTCGAGAGTGTTCGGTAGCTCCTACAACAATTTTGAGACATCTTTCAGAAGTCGAGTGTATTACCGCCACCAATGGAGCGCGGCACTCCATTGACCTAAATGAAAGTTTCCATCCTATTAGTGTCAGACCGTACTTATATCCTCAGAATCAAAATGATGGGATAGAAAAATTGATTCGAGAAATGCTCGAAGGGAGAATTATCAAGTCCAGTGTGAGACTCTTTTTCAATTCAATCATATTGGTGAAGAAAAAAGATGGTAGCTGAAGATTTTATATAATCTGCCATGCTTTGAACAAAGAAATTGCATTGGATAAGCTTTTTATCCCTATGATTAATGAGTTATTAGATGAACTTTATGGGTCAATCATGTTATCAAAAATTGATCTTGAATCAAGATACCATAAAATCAGAGTGAAGTCAGTTGATGTGCACAAAACAACGTTCCAGACACATGAAAGACATTGTGATTGCTTGGTAATGTTGTGTGGCTTCATCAATGCTCCAGCCATATTTCAATCTCTCATAAATCATATTTTTCAACGTTAAATTTGGCCTAGTTTTCTATGATGACATTATGATCTACAATCATACAAAAGTTGAGCATGTGGGGCACCTGAGAGCAACCTTGGGGAAGTTGAGAGAGCATCAGTTGTACGCCAACTTGAAGAAATGTTCATTTGTCAGCTACAAATGGAGTGAGTACCTCAGGCACATGGTGATCAGGGCAGAAACGTAGAAGTAGGAGCGGACCAGTCCAAGATCGAGACTTATGGTGGACCCAGAAGTTTGAAGGGGTTAAAAGGATTCTTAGGTTTTGTCGAAAACTATGGAATTTTGTAAAGAGGTACGACACGATAGCATAGTCATTGACAGAGTAGCTGAAGAAAGACAGTTTCAAGTAGAGGAAAATAGCGACACTGACATTCGAACATTTTAAGAGAGCCATGACCAGCGTTCCACTGTTAGCACTCGTAGATTTCAGTAAATCATTATTGATTGAGATGGATGCGTCAGAGTACAGATTAGGAGCAGTACTCGTGCAGAACCAAAGACCAATAACCTACTTTAGTCGGGTGCTCGCAGCTAGGGCAAGGCTCAAGAAAGTGTATGATCAGGAATTGATGTCTATTGTCTTGACCATTCCGAAGTGATGGGCCCATCTATTGGGGCAACACTTTCTAGTCATAACAGATCAGAGGAGCTTAAAGTATCTTCTATAATATAGGATGGTGACGAAGGAGCATCAGAAATGGCTATTCAAGCTACTGGGATATGATTTTCAGATTTAATATCGACCATTGTTGGAGAATAAAGTCGTAGATGCACCAATGAGAAGGGCGAAGGAGCCCTAGCTAACACCCTTACCAGTCCTCTTGGTATTAGATTAGGAAGCTCTGAAACAGAGCAGCTACTCTACCAGGGATGGTTTGTGTTGTTGAGGGCATCAGAGTGCATCCCCAAACTATTGCGCAAGTTTCACGGCAGTTCCATTGGGGCACACTCAGGGGTACAGAAGACATATCGTCGTCTATCAGCAGAGCTTTATTGGTGGGGATACGAAAAAATGTAGAGGACGTGGTGGCACAGTGTGATGTATACCAATGACACTAGTACTTGAACATGGCGCCAGAAGTGTTGCTACATCCGTTAGCTTTACCGGAGAAGATTTGGGAAAAAGTGAAGAAAATGTAGAGGACGTGGTGGCACAGTGTGATGTATACCAATGACACTAGTACTTGAACATGGCGCCAGAAGTGTTGCTACATCCGTTAGCTTTACCGGAGAAGATTTGGGAAAAAGTGAAGAAAATGTAGAGGACGTGGTGGCACAGTGTGATGTATACCAATGACACTAGTACTTGAACATGGCGCCAGAAGTGTTGCTACATCCGTTAGCTTTACCGGAGAAGATTTGGGAAAAAGTGAAGAAAAATTTTATAGAAGGGTTGTCGGGATCAGAAGGTTTTAACATGAACTTGGTGGTAGTGGATTGTCTGAGCAAGCATGCATATTTCATTCCATTACGACACCCCTACATTGCGGTCTCAGTCACTACGGTATTCATACGAGAAGTGATCCGTTTGCACAAAATTTTGGAATCTACTGTATCAAACAAACAAAAGATGTTCCTTAGGCAATTTTGGAAGGAGTTATTCAGATTACAAGGAAAGGTCCTTAAGAGAAGAATAACATATCATCCCCACACCGATGACCAAATAGAGGTGGTCAATAAGAGTATGGAGATATCTGCATTGTTTTGTATCTGATAAAACAAAGCTTTATGCTAAGTGGATTGATTGGGTCAAATACTAGTGTAATACTTCATATTGCAGCACAGACCACCCCTTTCAAGATTTTGCATGGGCACGATCCACCTCACCTGAAACACTAGGGGAATAGTACTACATCGGTATCTAGTATCAACCAGTATTTGGAGAAAAGGGTCAGGATATTGGCGGAGCTCAAGGGGCATTTATTGAGAGCTCAACATATCATGAAGAGAAAGCAGATGGACATAAGAGAGAGGTGCAATTCGAACTCGGGGAATAGTTTACTTGAAGTTGATGCCCTACTGGTAGAA